GCCCCAGAAGAAACAACATCGTTCCTATGTTGATGACATTCGGAGTTCGGCAAAAGGACGAATTCACGGACAGTAATCTGTACGTATTGATACATCTATATTTTAACAATTCAGAAATTCTCCTTTATTTGGATAATATACGAACAACATAAACTGTTTCTTGCACCATTGGCTTGCCATACAAAACAACTGATGGGTGCGTCACGGACTAGAAACACGAGAGTAAGCTGGTGGATGTTCTGGTTACAGGTGAGGTAAGGCGCACACAGTAGCCTTATTTTTAAAATAGATCAATTACAATTATATACAATGAGGAAATTGGGCTAATATAGTAAACAAGACTAAGTATTGAGGGTCTTTGCATGAAATTACGACCAATACGTTGGAACAACAAAAACGTCTAAAAAGAATTCAAAATGGCAGTTAGTCCTGCAATTAGGATATTAAATACATGTATAAAAGGCCAGTGTACACAATTTACGGAAATACGTGTACTTTCAGAATTGCATAACGATTTTACGTGCATAAAAGTGTTATCCAGATCTACAAAATAGTGCCATGGGTGGATGTTTGAGGTCTTTCGATAACAATGTTTATGCACGAATATGTTCGTTTCAGGCAAGACACTAAAATGCGCATGTGACCCGTGTCACTAAGATGACAGACAAGATTGTCCTTTTATTAAAACATCTGACTGATATTTTCCAAAAAGTGATATAATTATACAATATATTCTAATAGAAAAAAATTATTTTCTCTTTACAGGAAGAAATACTATCTTTCCTTTGAGGATTTTAAATGACAGTTTCAGAATATCATAAAGGTTTGTCCTTTTTTCATTAGCTAGCCGAGTTTTGCTTGATCAGACCTGTGCTAAACATTAATATCTGCCATCCTCTACCAGACCAATATGTTAGTGCTAAACACTAAACTACAAGACGTATTTGCTCACCCACCTTCCTTTTAAGCTACATATCATCTCCTGAGCCCCTACGATTTCATAGGAAACTCTGGATGTGTGTTTTGTGGTTTTAGTTTTGTCTTTCAAATCTATATCCGTCGCCCGCGTGGTGCAGTGGTTAGAGCGTCTGCTCTAGAGTCGCTGAGTAAGGAATACATCCTTACGTCGAGGGTTCGAATCCCACTGTGGGACGTGGAGACCTGTCCTTCGGATGAGACCGTTTAAACCGAGGTCCCGTGTCGCAGTAGGCGCTGGCACGAAAAAGATCCCTCACTGCTCAATGGCCGTAAGTGCCGAGTATAGGACAAAATTTGCAGCTCTCCACCGGCAAGTGGTGGCGTCTCCATATGATTGAAAAATTCTCGAGAGGGACGTTAAACAACATACAAAGAAAACAAACAAACAAATCTATATCCTATCAAATGTACTAGTGACACTAGTACTTTAGTTGTAAAAGATAACCATTACCCATTAACTACGTACATTAATTTTGTTCGAAAACAAAGAACCTGTAGAAACCAAACGTTTCTCTATTCAATCGTCGTGCGTTGTCAGGAACAATGAAATATTTTGAACATCTTGAATACTACACACGATTGATTGCCTTCAAAATTAAATTCGAAGAATATAAGAGATATAGTAAGACTCCTTGTCAACAGGCCACGCCCAATGTAAGCCATCTGTATTGACCAGGCCACACTTGGGAGTAAGCCATCTGTATTGACCAGGCCACACTTGGGAGTAAGCCATCTGTATTGACCAGGTGAACGCAGCAACCCGTAGTCTAATTCGTATGAAAAAAAATGTCTGTACATGTCATTCAAAATACAATCCAATGATAAGTTGAATTTGCAAACAGCATCATTATTACTATCATATAATTTTCTAACTAGTTATAAGCATCAACTTGCATGTATTTGTCTGTAGCCTGTCTCAGTTTTAAAATCTAAAGTCAATATCTTCTTCCTGCCCATCTTGAAACATATTACTAAATGATGGTTAAGTAGGGTCTGAAAGTGTTTAAGGATACAAAGGCAGGGGGTTCATTCTCCGTGAATACGGGGTGGGGGTGGGGTGGGGGGCAAAATGACTAAATAATGAAGAAAAGTGAAAATAGTGACATAGTGAAAATATCATTTAAAAAAATCTCTTTTCCTGAACATACTGAAAATAAACCAAAACGTCTGGTTAAGAGAGCAAAATTCCTACATGTAATACCAAAATAGTGTTTGATAACCCAATGGCGGGGCTCTGCCTCTAGAGCAAACTTTGTCTCTATTTATGCCTGAAACTATGATTGAAAGCACGATTAAGGACAACAAGGAACTCTCTACTTACTGCTACAGTTGTGTAAGGGAATCTAAAGATCTTGTTTAGGGTAGAACCAACGTGGTCATAGTGTTACAAACACATGGTACTAAGGTGACCGACAAAGCCAATGGGCCTCTAGTATAAGTTACCACTTATTACAAAATTGCAACAAATATCAATTGACACATTTTGAATAAAAATGTATTTTTTCTGAATTAATTACTAATTAAGAGCCATTCTCTGTAACGACTTGAACTTTTATATAGAAGCTGTGGCACGCATAGTCTCAGAATTTCTCCAAACTCTCTATGATAAAAGACTTTGATACCGTAAACTCAAATCAGGCAGAAATTGGTTGCTACGTGACATGGTTACCTTGGCAACATGTCCTAAAGTTTGAAAAATGGCATTTTTCAACATGTTCAGAGTCCCACGGTTAACGTTTGCAGCAAAGCAAACAAGTGGTAATGATTGTTTCTGAAAGTTGAAGGCCTGATGTCTTAAAGGCGTGATAAACATGTTTGGTAAATCAACTATTACATACGTTACTATGGAAACAAAGTATTCAAAAGTAATAATTTTGCTCATTTAATTTTATAACATCATAAACTTAAGAATAAAAAAAAATATAGGTTGAAATACAAGCAAACAATAGACAAAAGATCCTTGTAACATATACCATGGAAGAAATATGATATTTCTTACAGGTTGGCAATGGTTGCCATGGTTTTAATACCAAGAAGGGATTTTAAATTTACTCTCTTAATGATTAAATCTAATCCTATCTTTTTAAAAAGCATATTTCTATATAACTAATGATCAATTTTTAAAGATGTTCATGTGAGCCTAATTCTCACATTTCAAAAAATGCAAATTCAATTCTTTAAATAGAGCGTTGCTATGGAAATAAGCCGAAAAAATATGCATAAAAATCTGAAAAATATTCTGTTTCCTTGGATACGTACCCTTGTATGAAGATTCCCAAAACCTTTATGATTGGTAATTATGAACAACTAACCCGACTTTCAATTTTGACTGCCACCCAATTTCTAACTGGATGCAAAAAGCTGGCACATAGGGTTTAATATTGATATAAAATTAACAAAATCGAACATATTCCCTTCTTGGTTACCATAGCAACAGTGTTGTATTTTTCAACAAACGTTATCAATATATGATATTCAACTTTAATTTTACCAGATAAGTACTATTCAAGGTGAGTCAAATAATATGTTTCTTGAATAAAAGGTAAGTAAATTCCTAACGCAGCAAAAAAATATCACTTAAAACAACTGGTACATTGTTTCCATGGTTACACTGCAAATAAACAATTAATCCCAATTTTTCTTATGTTGTCGGTGTTGCAAGGTCCTAAGAATATATATGTGCCAGTCATGAAATTTATTGTTTTTCCAGAAGATAGTAGCATTAACCCAATCTTAGCAACACATTTTGGATGGTAACACTGTGTTACCATGGCAACCATGAAAGTTATTTTTAGAATAATATTGCCAATACCTAATTACTTAAGGTCAAATATTTTTATTGTTTTTTCTTAGGTTGTTGATTGAGTTTGATCATTTAACACCTATCATTAGTGAATATTGAGCGTTTTTCTGCATTTTTCAGCATCTAAAATGTATTCCAAATGTACCCATGGTTACCACTTACTTAGAGATAAATTCTAAATAGTTTCTTTATAGCATAAGTGGCAACAAGGTGTCAGGTTTTGGGGAGAATGGTTTGTTTGTTATTCTTATTCTTTATTAAGGCTTAATAAAGATTCAAAGTAGCTGAAAATCTCAATTTTTTCAACTTTTCTGGCTGTTACCATGGCAACCAAGACACATATAATAAATAATAATCAATATGGAAGAATTACTGCATCGACTCAAAAATTAAATTTGAAAAATTCTGCAATGCTCAAATTGCAAGAAAGTCATGTTTTTTATGTTTCTTTTTTTTTTAAATTAAAGTTTCATTGTTAGCGTTACCATGGCTTTTATGAGTAATATATATATATATATATATATATATATATATATATATATATATATATATATATATATATATATATATATATATATATATATATATATATATAAACACCTTTGCAAAATGTAGACAATGAAAACTAATTGAATAAAGTCACAATCAAATAAATAGAATTTCAGACTTTATAAATAAGTATAACTTTACACCACTTGAAGGTTCGAATCTTAAATAATCACTGAGAAATCAAGACGGAGTGCTCCTTAAAGATAACAGATCTATAGAAAGGACATGAAAAGACGATTTAAAGATATTAAAATATGACGACTTCTGAATGGTTACTGAAATGTTAATTATTGTTGAGTGCATGAAAGATGTCTGAAATATTCTTGTGCTCTTTCTGTCAATTCACCATTTGTTGACTATCAATTGCACATGAAAAATCTAATTCTTTTTTGTAAGGAAGTTTGATTTTTTCCCATTTATTTCCTGCTGATAAATACTTTTCATTTTGTAATATAAAAGCAAAAATATCAATACTGTTTTAAATTCTAAGAAATAAATAAGAGTGTTCTCATTATTGTTTTTTATTTTCATAAAACAAAGTCATATAAAATTTGTCGTAACAATAATTAAATATTTCTTTCATTTAGATTGCACATCATGCAAAAAGTAAAAGTAATGAATGGAAAGTTGCCTGCCTAAAAGAATATGTTGAAAGGGGTATCACAACCTCATGGGTGAATTACTCTCAAAATTAGAGGCATCACAATGTTCTTTATGTATGGGATACATGGAAAACTATATGTATTGCGAAACATGTAAACGTTATCTGTGTGTTCCTTGTAAAGAGAAGCATGTGATTGATCTGGACACCAAATATCACGATGTGATTCACCCTTTAAAGGATAGTGATTGGATGAGACCAGAGTCTTGCGAGAGACACCCAGACAGAAACTATTTATACTGGTGTCAGTCATGTGAATGTCCAGTTTGTGACTCTTGTCATGAACATCAAAGACACAAAATTCTAGACATTACATCTACCTACAAAATTCAAAGACAGGAACACTGGGATATAATTGTTGATATCAGAAGTGAAAGACTTCTGTACAATCAAGCCATTATTTCAAAAATTAAATCGGATTTCAAAACTTGTCAAACGGCTTTGATCGTACTCCGGATAAAAATAATATCAGAAGCTCAGCGAGAAAAGAAACTGATAGATATTGTTTTGAATAATACAAATGAGGCGTACTTTAAGATCAACTCTAAACTACAACAATCGAAGCAAAATATCAAAGATGTAGAGAAGTATATGTTCAGATTTGAACATTCAGCGAACAAAGCAGTACATTTTTTATTATTTATAAAAAGGAAACCTGCTTCCAGGATGAGGGACATTCCTAAAATTTTTACATTCTCCCTGAAAAATGAAATCAATATGGAAGATGTTATTTTGTTTCAAGGCAAAGTCAAACTCATCGAGACCGACAAAAGACGGATAGATAATGATCGACTCTTGAAAATAATGACTAGACCCGTGTTACAGAAAACTTTCACTGTCCCTGGTGCTAGTTGTGGTAAGCGCATTTCTTTTGTGTCTTCAGACCGGATCTGGATAAGTGGTGGTGGCAATGATCTCTTCTTGATCGACTCAACTGGTAACATTTTACACCATCGAACAGATAGCCAAAATGCTTGTAACGGTTCACAAACAGTAAGTCTGGCTGGAGAACTCATTTACATAGACTTGGATTCTAATATCTGTAAACTTTGTAAGGACAACAAAGCACAAATTACACTGATGAATAAATCTGAACAATGGGAACCATTGGAAATATTTTGTTCTCAATTCTCCGGAGATCTGCTTGTTTTGATGAAAAAATATATCTGGACATATATCGGGACATTAGAAATCTGTGATATAAAAAGTAAAGTTATTAGATTCAATGGAATAGAGGAGGAAGCCCAAACCTTCCAGTTTGATGACAATGGTCGTAACCTTTATTATGATCCTGAGCACATCACAGAGAATCGAAACGGAGATGTTATTGTTTCTGATGAGTATAACGAGTATAGTCTTGAACGATCATTTCTAGTTGTTACAGATCGAAATGGAAGATATCGTTTTAGTTACTATGGATCACAGTATGACCCTCAACTGAAACTTGAACCGTGGGGAATTTGTACAGATGCACTATCAAATATCCTTATAGCTAACCAAAGCTCAAGCACAGTGCATATGATAGACAAGGATGGCAAATTCCTTTCCTTGCTACTAACAGAGGAACACGGTATTAGTGGTCCATGGGGTCTCAGTTACGACGAAAAATCTCATCTTCTTTGGGTTGGATCTATTAATGACAATAGGTTGTGTGTGTACAGATATATTGAAAGACAGAACCACATTGTATAACGTTTTTAAAATTACTATCTAAATAATGCATTACAAGCTACAGAAAGAAATTTTTTCTCACAAATATTAGTATGCATAATTATATAAGATTCATATAAAACTGAAATGTTAGCAAGAGGTTGGGGATCTCAAACTGTTCCAGGGACCTTTAAGAATAAGTAAAACTCACACACTATTGAGAATCGATATGTGTACATGTGTATACTAGACAAGACCTTTGCTAATTAATGTCGTACTCACTCTTTCAGATCAATGTTATTGCTAAACACTAAACTACTAAAGGTGTTTGCTCAAAAACCTTCTTTTTAAGCTACATATCATCTCATGAGCCCACAAAGCTTGCTGTGGAAACTCTATGTATTTTGGAGTTTTAATTTTGTCTTTCAAATCTATATCCTATCAATGATGGTAGTACTTTAGTATCCAAAGAAAGCCATTACCCTCTAACTACGTACATTAATTTTATTAGCAAACAAAATACCTGCAATATGATTAAATCCTAACATTTTTCTATTCAATCGTCTTGCGTCGTCAGAAACAAGGGAATGATTTTAACATCTTCAATACTACTTGATTGATTGTCTTCGAAATTAAATTTGAAGAATATATATAGGATCTCCCATGATTTGTAGTTGGATATGTGTGTTTTTATCCCCGAGCCTTGGCGAGGGGATAAAAACACACAACGAGTTGGATAAAAGTCATATCCAACTACAAATCATGGGAGATTCTTTTTATCCCATGTTTAATACTTCACAACCAATGGTTTACACTGTTTTATATAGGACTCCACTTTATTTTACTTCATCACGCTAAACGCAAAAACCATTGTGACGTCACAACTGCACTTAACTGTGGATTATGAAAAAAATATCCAATGAGTTATATCCACGGGATAAAGGGGTAAACATGGGATAAAAGGGGTATAGGTAACCATTCCTTGTCAACAGGCCACACCCGGAGTAAGCCATCTGTATTGACCAGAGTAACACGTAGTGTAATTAGTATGTAAAGTGTCTGACATGTACATGTCAGATAGAGTACAATCCAACGATATATGTTGCATTTGCAAACAAAGTCATTATTACGACCATATAATATTCGAGATGCCTACTATAAACAACCACTGAAGATCACTTTACATGTATTTGTCTGTAGCCTTTCTTGGTTTAAAAATCTTATTATTATATCTTTAAAAATTGTTCCTATATAAATCTTCACCAAAAAAGTGGAAAATTTCCGATGTTTTACTGAGCGGTCATAAAAAAATCGATGTTTGACCGTGGAGTGAGATATTGGACCTGTCGATGATATGTTGGACCGCTTACGTCACAAAACGGGCGGGATCAGCATTTGTATTCGTTGGTGTTCGTCAATGATGGAATTGACCGAGTTTAACCTCAGTACTGGTAAAGGAAAACTACACCAAAGAATACATGTATGTGAAAAAAAATAATAAAAGGTATAACAAATCATTTATTGACTGTGTTCTCGGGTAAAATGCGTTTTGTTGACCCTGTTTGATGATTGGTTGTTTACGGCTTAACGACCTTAGGCAAACAGTTTGGTTCGAGGGTCCGACAAAACACATGTTACCCTCGAACCAATTAATGTATAAAATTATTCCCTGTCCATCTTGAATCATATAATTAAATGTCAGGTTAGGTAGAGTTTGAAAAACCAAAGGCAGGGGTTCTTTCTCCAAGGGATCCCGAGGAGACGGTTAAATGATGGAAATGTGAAAATGATGAGAAAGTGAAAATAAAAGTTTTGCAAAATTATCTTTTTTCCTGAATATATTGAAGATAAATTAAACGTCTTCTTAAAGGAGCAAAATTTCTGAAACCAAAATACGCAGTATAGTTAAGGTGCCAAATGGAAATATCGGCGAATTTTGTAGATAAAAAATACACACTTAACAACTTGAAGGATGGGTAATTTTTTATTAGACTTTACTGATATCTGACAAAAATAATATTGTTGAAAAGTACATGTTAAGGTCGATTAGGTTTTTTTTATTTAACCTTGTCTCATGATGTAGGAGACACGTTATTTTAGCAAATATACATGTACTTGCAGTATTGAGGTCATCTATAAATTCCAATATTGAAAGGGCAAAACCAATATATATTAAAAGCGAGAAATTTCAGTTGGGGGCATACAATTCCAGTATGGGGGCACTATTAATTACCAAAAATTCCTTGACAAGCAAAAAAAGGTCATCATACGTTATTATTGAGGGGGCACAAGTATATAGAAGCTAGGTTTTCTATAGTATTCTATATATCGGAAAATTATTGGGGGGGGCACAACGTCCCCTGTGCCCCCCCCCCCCCCCCCGTTTCTACGGCCATGAAAAATCCAAGTTTAATTTATAATTCTTTTCAACACTTAGTGTAGTTTGTGGAAAGTGCTGCGAACCTATATAGATTTTTATATTAAATTGCTAAACTTACATTGTTAGACAGCATGTTGAATATTTTGCTGGTCAGCTACATTGAATATAGATATAATTAATTTATTTACAAGATTTTATCAGGTTTTATCAGGTTCAAAGCACTTTTCAAATATATCTTAATGCTTCTTGAGTTTATGTGTGAAAGGTTGGCATGATCCATTGAGGGTATGCCCTTTCAATATATCGATTTAATAGGAACCTTCTTTTGCCCTTCAATTTATCTGCATACATACATACGACAGTATCACTTGTCTAGTGAATGTACGAAAGATATATGAATAAAATCGTAAAATAGATATCGCGTCAAAGGTAATAGCCTCCTATATATCTTCAAATAATATTTTATTTGATTATTTGATTTACAAAATACATTTTTCATTGTTTAAATTGTAACTTGATCAGAGGATATAAATAAGAAATAGATCCTAGATTCCACTATAATTCAACAATTCAAATATGATGAAATTTTACTATTTGAACCTTTCAAATTAAGCACATTCTTCATTAAGAGGGCGTTTCTTGAATAGATTTTTTGCTAGAAATATTTAAAACTGCCTTTGTTACAAAGGAATTGAATGTGGAAGGGGGTGGGGTGGGGTCTAAACTAATCGAGCAGATTGGAATCCTCTCATACATGCAACTTTTCAAATATTCAAATATTCTTTACCTGAAAATATAAATTAATATTTGCAACTATTGACTGCATGTATGCAAAAGATGCCTTTTAACTATTTTTTAACTTCTGTGAAGGAAACTTTTTTTTAAAAGTACGTGGGTAGGGTGTTGAAAAAAAATCCCATTGCCAATAATTGTAACCACTGCATTAACTGCAGAACTGTAGCGTTATGGTTATATATACTTTTTTTACCATAACGCTACATATCCAGTAATGGAAATACGAGGGGTTATCAAAACGTTCGTAAACTTGCAACATAAATTAAAACCGAATGATTTTTTAAAAAAAATATTAAGTTTCACCTTTTCTTTATCTTTAATATAAACTTCATGTATAAATTATAAGTTCTTTTTAATGTATTGTTTATGTTTTTAAGCAATGGCATGTCCAGGCGGTGCAGCTCCAACATGACGTATTTTCTACATGAGTTTAAGTGAGAAAAACTCTTTTGATATGAGCATTAGTCATCCCAAAATCGTTTAAATCACTTAAGAGATATGACACGATTGTTTCCGAGAAGTTTTAATTTTTGCCTCATTCTTTACTTCCTATGAAATTGTATTGTAAAATTTTATTTGGAATGTCCAAATAATTAAGGGGTTAAAATGACGTCAAATGGTGTGTGTCATTTTCCAACATTCTTTTAAATTTCAGCCCCTGGAAAAGCTGGCCTAGAACTAGAAAATGTCTACAGAGAAATAAAACCATCTAGAGTACTTGTTTTTAAATTACAAAACAGATTCAGTGAGAGAAGAGAAACACAGTTAATGTCGACTTGTAGACAGGATGCCCAAAGTGAGTCACGTCGAAAAGTGACGTTGATCATGTGTGGTAGACATTGAACTCCGACAAGCAAATTATGCTTGCATAATCAAGCAAGGATATTTTCCTTTGTATAGATCTATTTACAAAATTTTTGCATTAAAGTCAGTTCTTTATTGAATTGTAAGGTCATATTAACAAAACGGGTTTAGGTCTTCACTTAACTCTAAGGAATCTCTTCAAGATACAATGAAGCGCATTGGAGTTGCAAAATTTTCTGTTTGAATGGAACGTTTTGGACTTTCTTTAGAACGTTGATTGTCATAAAATGATACGCCCATTTCTTTAATAAGGAAAAAAAGCGGTCAAATGGTTCATTCGAATACCTGTGGAACTGGTATTCTATAAATACAATAGCTAATCAAATTGACAGTCTACAAAAACACCCAAGTAAGCACATGTTCGACCGATACATGTGTTATGGTAACTCCAGTAAACGATACATTCATAACTTTGTACATATTCGTTGCACTACCTGTTTCACAGATCGGAGTGCGGTCTCTAACTCTTTCTTAAAACTTTATAAAATCTCTATTTCAGTGTAACTCTTGTTGTTAGTCGCAGAGATGGGGTGTCCTTAAGCATTACGGTGAATATTTCTCTATCGTTTCTAAAGACATGGGCGTGTCATTCTGTAGCAATTGACTTTCGATAAGAAACATCCAAACTTTCCACTCAAACAAAAAATTTTACCACTTCAATGCGCTTCATTGTAAGTGTATTGAGGCAGGGAGAAGAATTAATGACGTTGTCAAACGTCATGAAACTACACAGCGACAGATAATATAATGTCTTTTTTATTTAATGATAATTTGGCAAATTATCTACGTATCAAGCTAAAATTTTCAACACTTCTTTAACTTTTGTTGCTTTATGTTCCTTAAAAATTTTGTAATCAACGACTCTATAGTTTTAATTTTATTGCATTAGTCCACGAATCTTTTCATAACCCATCGTATAATGCAATTTACGGCGCAAGATTTTCTGCCAACGGTTATGGTGAATTTCTCAACTTTTCACCATTGGTCAATCAACTACCTTTCA